ACAGCACGTCGCCGGTGTGTCCTGTACGTGATGGGGAGGACTGTATTTACCTTGGAAGGCCGATCAGCTTTTGTCCAAAGTGCTGTTGTTGTGAGCCTGAAATACCTTTGCAAGTGGAAAACAGAGATGTCTCTGTGAAGTCTATTGTGATAAACTCTCCGGCAGCTGCCCTGATGGCCCGTGAGCACATCCTCAGGAAGCCTTGATGTCTTATCTTCTGGAGAGCATCTGAATTTTTTTATTTAAACAAGCAATTTGGTTTTTATTGCTGATTAATGGCACAGAGCCAGGCAGGCCGCGTGGCTCCCATCAGGGAGTGATGCTGGGGATGGGGGGTGGCTGGCCTGGCACCCAGCACGCCGCTCCCCAGCTGGCTGCCGGCTCTGCCCAGCACTGCAGCTCTCCATGCCAGGCAGGGAGCTCCTTGCTCAGCTCCTCGGCTGTGTGCCCAGCCCAAAGGGGCTGCAGCAGTTTCCAAACTGGCCCATGGACCAAGGCTGGGAGATGTGTGTCCCCCCCCGCTCCATCCCCGAAGCTGAAGGTCCTGGTTGCGAATCCCGGGGTGCCGTGCATGCGGTGGGGCTGCCGCTGGGGGGTAGGGATGTGGTCCGGAATATGCCCCTGAAAGGAAGAGGAAGTATTCTCCTAAAGAGGGAATAAATAGTTATAAATATTAGCTATTAATAGTTCCTTACCTCCAAAAATAAAATCCCTTAGTGATACCAAAATAAGAAAGCAAAGGAAAGTCGGAGGTATTTGGCCTTCCTTTGAAAAGGAAGCTAAAAATAACTATATATATATAAAAATTTCTCGTTTCTAGGGAAAGTCTCTGCCCCCGCATCCAGCCTGCACAGTTATATAAGACTTGAACTATATCCCCCTTCTCCTCCGCGGCCGCTCGCAACGCGCTGCGAGCGGAGCCAGATGGAGAAAGGTTCCGTCAGGAAAGTTTAACTCAGCGGGGAAGCTGCAGCCAGTGGAGGACAGGATTCTCTCGCTGAACTCTCCAAAAGACTTGGAAATCTTACAGTTGTGTCATATGCTGGTTTGGGGAATGCTAGCAGTCCGGAGGCAGCCGCCAGCCCTCTTTCACTTCGTTCTTTATTTATTTTTTTTTTTTCGCTTCGAGCTGAGTTTAATTTGGGTAGCAGGATTCAGCATTTTTAAGTTGGAAAAAACTTGGTGGAAGAAGATATTTTAGGAAAACCCTGTCATGTGAACTAGCGGGAGCCGATCAAACCGAGCTATTAAAAGAAAGACATTGTATTTTTAAACGGTCCAGACTAGGGAAGCCAACCTGTGTGCCATAACTGCTGAGCCGTGACTGCTCCCCCGATTATAGCTCAGCGTGGGATGAGGTGAAGCTTTCCATTGGGGTCGCCCATTCTCCGCTCGCTCTGGGATACCCTTTGGCAGGGCCCCCCCAGGCTGTCCCCCCACCTCCTGCTCCCCTGCTCTGCTGCAGGAACCTGTGCCCCCCCTGCCTCTGCTGCAGAGCTGTGCTCTGCCTGAAGCCCCTCCAGCTCCTACACAGCTGCCGATGTGACCCCAGTGAGAGGCGCTGGGGTGAGCAGGCAATGCTGCAGGGAGGGGTATGATGCAGAACTAGTGATGCTGTGCTCCTGTCCAAGCAGGGCAGTACTGTCAGACACCCCTTAATATTTGGAAATAGAAAATGAGCAACTCTGACTTTGCTTCAAATGGTGCAAATGGGGGATCTGGTCTGCAACTGGCTTGGAGAGTGTGCTAAGATGGCTTTGGGGTTGAAACCTGTGGGGTCTGAAAAAGAGCAGTGTTGCTGGGTGCAGCATGACCAGCTCCATCCTGGGGGGAGCTGTGTGGGGCCTGGGGTGCACCCACACCCACCACTCTGGTGGTGCATCATCACACACCATGCCAGGGATGCACAGGGCTGAGAAAGGGCAAATCCCGTAGGTGTGATGGCAGCCTTGTGGTGCTGCTCTACTGGCTGCTCCTTCCTCCAGCACTGCATCCTGCACCCTGTGCTCAACAGTGCCTTTGCTGTGCAGGGTGGGCTGCGAAGGGAAACCTTCCAGGTTGCAGCCCAAAGGGGAGACTCCAAACAACATTGGTGCTCAGAGAGCAGTGGGGCGATGGGCTCATCCTCTGCAGGGGGAAGAGGAAAGGTTTCCCTGGGAGCCCTCAGGTGTGCATGCAGGAGGGATGCTCGGCCCCGTGGGGTGACTGTACGGAGGGACGGTGCTCCCCAGCACCCTCCGGGTTCAGTGGCAGCACACTGCATTTACAGGGTGCGGAGCTGGGGAAAGTATTTCCGCCCCTGCACATCCAAAAATGACAAAGGCTAGGAAAGTGAGGTGCGCTGAGTTTCCCTGGCCTGCCTGCAGTTGCTAGCCTGCAAGACAACAAACTAGAGAAGCAGAAAGTTTGATTGTGATACCTCCTTCGAGTCGATTTTGGGACTCAGAGAGTGAAAAATGGAAACGGCGCGCGGGTGCCAGGCAGCCCTCTGCGCTGCGCCGGCCAAGTCCCGCTGCAGTGACTCACTCCCCGCTGCTGCCCAGGGCTCCAGCTGACCCCGGCAGCCACCCCGGCTCGCAGCACGGCGCGGTGGGGCTGAGCGCTGCTGTCCTTCCTGGAGCTCGGGATCGCTTCTGGGGAGAAACACCCGCGAGCCCAGGCGCATGCAGGCACTGCACCAGCACAGAACGAAGAGGCAGATGCTCATTAACGTGGCAGTGAAAACTATCTGTTGTAGGCAGCACATGGCTCGCAACATCTTTGACTTTATTTTCCTGTTTTCTTTTGCTTTATTTTCCTGTTTATACATAGTACGTGTAAACACACCCGCGTTGTCTTGGTTTCAGAGGCTTCCTTGGCTATTTCTTTCTTGCTGAGCTCCACGTGTATCAATGGAAAGCTGTGGGGTTGCTCCTCTCTCTTCTAAATGGATCCAAAAATAGAAGCAGAGAGTTCTGTGAAACGCCACCAAACAAATTAACCCTTATTTCTTTTTTCTTTTCGTCTTCTGCATGAAGAAAGACTTGATGGGTATTAATAGGGTGCTAGCAAATTTAAAAGTCGTAAATATGAGCTTGGGACTCGAGTTCTCTCAATGATTTATTCAAAGGTAAAAGCAGCAGCAGCCTGAGCTCGTCTCTGCTGGGAAGAAGGAAAACTTCTGCACAGAAGCCCCGTTGCTTTGAAAGGCTTTGCAGTGCCTGCGAGTTTTGTTTAAAAAGCACACACTGGGATTTTTAACATCATCCATATTTCTTTCTTTCTCGCTCTCTAGCTTTCTGCTCAACAATTAAGTGCTTGTGCTGCAGACTGAGAAAGCCGCAGAGCTGCCTTGGCTCGGAGCTGGGAGACGTCATGGATTCCTGAGTGTGAAGTTTGCAGGAAAGCCCTCGGTTTGGGAGATGGAGGCGATCCAAGGGTTTCCATGGCACTGGGATAAACAGGAGGAAACAGTGAGGGAATCCCGTTATTTTACAGCATTCAAAGACTATAAACACTCAGAGCAGGGAAGGAAGTGGCCTTTCCCTCTCTAGTAACCCTCATCTCAGAGCAGAGAACTGACTTCACTTCAGGAACAAGCTCAGCCCAGTTCGGATCCCTCTTAGCACCTCCAAACGCTTACAGAGGAGGCAAGCAGGAGGGGTTCCCTCTGTCTGGGCAGCACCGGTCGAACATGGTTTAAAGAAGACTTTTTTCCTCTTCTTTTTTCAACTGATTTTTTTTTTTTTTTTTTTTTTTTAATTTAAATTCCCGATGCAGAGAGAAACTGCCTGCAGGCTGCTTCGTTACCACCACATCATGAGGTCTATGGATCAAGGTAGGGTCTCACTGGGGTGCTGTGTGTGCTGTGTGTCTCTGTGTCTTTCCCCTTCCCAGCGCTGTGCTGCTCACCCCGCGGCCCCGGCGCTCCGTTCTGCCACTGGCAGCGCGGCCGGGTGGGCAGTGGGGTGTCGTGGCAGGAAGGGACCGGACGGGGTTTGGGTTCGGTTTGAAGGCGATACAAAGCTGTCTGGAGAAACCTCCTTTAAACCTCAGCCAGAGAGGCTCTCCTCTTCCAAGCCATCACCCGAGGAGGCTCGCTGTCAAACCTCCGGGCCGCTTAACCCTTCCGCCCCCTGCCCGGGGCTGGATCTCAGGGCTCCGCAGGCGGCTTCCCCGGGTCCGCCGTCGGCGGGGGCGGCGCTGAGCTCGGACGGGCGGCTCCGGGCCGCGCCGCGGGCGGGGGGCGCGGGGGGCCGCGGGCTCGGAGCTCCCCGGGGGCGGCCCCGATCGGGGCGAGTCTGCCCGAGGGCTCCGGAGATTCACGGGGGGACGCGCTCCGCTCCCCCGCCCTCGCCGCGGCGTCTCGGTGCCGGTGGAGGGAAGAGTTAAGCACGGCGATAGGAGGAGTCTGCGCCGCTGTCAGCGCCGGCGCCGGGGTCCGCTCGGTCCCCGAGCCGCCGGCCCGCTTCCGCCGCCGAGATCCCCCCTCTCCCGGCGGGGCGGAGGCCGGGGGCACCGCAGCACGCTCCGGCTTCCCTCGGAGCGGCGAGGGCGGCTGCGGGCCCCGGGGGAGGGCGCGGCGCCGGGAGCGGCCGTGCGTGGGGACGCGGGGAGGAACGCGGGGCGGCCCTGCGGGGGCTGCGGCTCTCAGGAAGCGCGACCGCGGGAGCAGCTGTGCCCGGAGCTCCGAGCGGAGCCGGGCGGAGGATGCTCCGCGCTGGGAAAGGCCCCGCAGCCCCGCTCTCGGACGGAACGCGGGGCGCTGGCTGCTTCCCCGGCCCTGCAGCCCCCTGCCCGCTCGGCACCTCACCCCGAGGCCCGGGCGGGGAGGGGTGCGCAGGTGAGTCGCTATTTTTGATAGCGGAGCTGCGCTAGGGGGCAGGAGGTGGAGGATGGAAGCGCTTTTCTGCGGACTCGTTCCATTTTCGATTCCGTCCCGCTCCGCTCCCCGCCGCCGGCTGTGCCCGCTGAGCCCCGCGGCCGCCCCGTGCGGGGTCGGGGATGCGCGTGAGGGACGCGGCCGCTTCCATGGGGCTGTGCTGGCAAGGCTCGTCGTGGCGGCTATTTCTTTTTTTTCCCTGCCTTAGCAAGCTCCCCAGGCACCTGCCAAAATACACTCATTAACACACGCACCCAAAAGGGCTCATCCGAGAACTCGGTAGAGCCAATGGAGAGGCGCTGACGGGCTTTGCACCGCCTTAGGATCAGGCCATCGCTTTGTCTCCTGGGTCCTCGGTTTTCTCTGGCCACGACTCCTCTCTCCCGAGCACCTCAGCCACTCTTAGTCACTCTCACAACAACCCGGAGAACTTATTTTGCTGCAGAGAAAGAAGGAAGGTGAAAGATGGGATCCTTTTTCTCCTAAGCAACGTCACGCTCTCACCTATAGGGTAGCCACCTACCAGGCGGCACTCTGACAGCAGCTGCCGAATTTCTTCTATTATCGTGCATCCCCACTTTCCCCAGCAGTACTGCAATGCCCTGCAGTCACAAACCGAAGCAAAAAGCACCGACTTGTTTTCCAGATCAAATATCTGAGAGCGCAGCAGCCGCTGCAGCAGCGCAGTCACACGGCAGAGCCCGGAGGTGCTCTGGGATTGCACTCCTGGGCCCGGGTGCCTGTTTCTCCTTAGGCAAAGTTCCTGCTCCTGTCAGTGGCACAGCGGCGGTGGGAGTGGATTCTGACAGCAACTCACCGTTGTGTCATTTCTGTTCCCAACCCATCCTTAAGGATACAGCTGCTTGAAACTGCTGGGAATAAATAGCACGTGGCACTTTCAGGATCTTGCTCTGGGTCTGGGAGGATTCCTGCACCCACAAAACAGTGCAGGATTTTCATTAATGTAGGGTGTGTAAGAAAGCGTTAATAATTCTGGGCTCTAGCCCCATTTTACAATTAGAGCTGGCTCAGAGTGGGGAACGAAGTCTGTACGTGGCTGTTTGCAAAAGGATGGTGCTGCTCTGGCTGTGCTCCCTTGAGCTTCTGCAAATGTCAGCAGGACACGGACACAGCAGAGGTTTTCATCAGGTGACTGAGTCCCTCTGTCATCCCGTTTTCCCACATTCCTGCTGCTCTGCCTCTCGAGGCAGCCCCTTCCTGCGGGCCAGCACGCATGGCGAGACGGTTACAGCAGCTCACAGCCAGTGAATCACCTCCGAGTCTCTCTTACAGGGCAGAAATCGCATTCACAGATGGGACACTGACATAATTGGAGCACTCTTTTATAACATTCCAATAGATATTCTAACTGAAATGTTTCATCATTCATTTTTTGGAAACAGCCAAGGATAATAATATCCTAGAGCTTCTTTTCCACTACTGGCTTAATCTATTTTTTTAAACTATGATACGCGCATTCCTTTGGTTTGCACAGCAGACTACAGAACTTAATGGGAACGTGGAGATATGAGCAATTTTTCCATTGTCCTTTCTTGCCAAACCGCTTTAAGCCTGAAATTGGGGGGTAATCTCTCTGACTCAACCTGACCCCAAAATTGAATGGTAGTGTGTGCAAGTGCGTCCCTCACAGGAAGTGCCGGAATATTTCCCCCCTCCACCGCCTCCTGTTCCTTCTTCTCTCCCAGCACTCCCCACACCTCAGGCTGAGCAGCTCATCCACTGCAGTCTGAGCTCATTTGAAAGCGCTTGGATAAAGTCCACGTGTGAGTCCTGGTTGCCTGCTAAATTTCTGATGCTTGCCACATGGACCGTCAGGACTCTTTGGTTTTTAAGACAGCACAGATTTGTATTTTCTCTGAGTTTCAGCTGCTGAAGTGCAGCATTTTTAACAAACCCTGCCCTACCTCTTTTTCTTTAGAACTGTTTAATAGGAGCATGCTGCAGTTTTACAGATGTGGCTACACGTCGGGTGGTCCTACCGACAGTTAGCAGTCAGTGCAGTTCTGAGAAGAGTCTGTATCTTTTCTCAGCTCGGAACATCATCCGACGCCCCGCGTTACGGTGCAGGGAATACAATGGGACACTGTAAGGAGAAACTGAAACTTGGAAGCGACGTATCAGATCTGCAGCAGATTTAAACCCTGAGAGTTACGCTAAGCGCTTTTTAAATCGTAGTTTGTATTACACTAAAAAGTATTCTTAGCTTTGTTTTTGGATTTCTCGTCCCCAAGTACCCAGGTAGTCCAGCATTCACATACTTCTGAAGTTTATGAAAGCAGAGTGCTGCCAAGGGCAAGCTCTCATCCAACTATGTGGAAAAGGAGTCCTTCCATTCTCCAGTTCCCTGAAATGGCAACACAATGTATTTCCAGTTATGCTCTGTGCGGAGGCTGCTGCAAGTATACGTGGCTGCAATTTTTGTTACTGCTGCCAAGGACAGATTTTGCTTAACTCCTTGAAACACCTTTCTGGCTCATGAGAGCAGAGTTATAGAAAACCAGGAGCTGGTGCTGAGTCCCAGAGCTCCGGTGTGGGCACTGGGAGCCCTGGTGGGGGCTGGGGGCTGCACTGCTTGTGGGAGAACTGGAGGGAGCAAAGATGGAGGAGCTTTGTGAGGAGGAAGTGTTTGTCATGTGGAAAAGACGGAGTTAGGGAAAGCAAGTAGTATTTCTGGTCTTTGCATGCCGCATTCTAGCCTTTCTCTCCAGTCTTAATGGAAAACAAGTATTAGGAAGCATTTGTCACATTGTTTGGGTTTTTCCTTTGATTTGGAGTGGCTGGATGCCTTTTCTGAGTGCACATATTGAGCGGAAGAGCCCGCAGACTGCTTCAGCCTTGTAGTTTTCCTGCCTTTTCTTCACTGCAAATTATTAATGGTGCACTGGGTAGTATTTGGAAGTCATGTAGCTGTAACAGCTCAAACATCTTTTCCTAACTGTTGGCCTAAGAATGTGTTTGGGGTTTAAGTTAAACTCAGTCCTCAGAGGTCTCCAAAAACTGCGGCTGTCACTCAATCTGTGTGCTGCAGCTGCTTGCACCCACTGATGGCTGGTTTTGTGTATTTCTACTTAGGCCAGATCTGCACTTTGTGGATTTAGACCACTTCTGCTCAAAATAACACAAGGGTAAGTTCCAGCACAGCCCACAGGGTGCAGCATTATAACTCACACCTCTGCGCCCTGGAAGCCTGTGGGAGCTGTTATTCCCATATGACCAATGTCCTCATGTGCCCTGTGTGCACGCAGAGGGAGCAGGGGAAGCCACGCAGCGCTGTGCCTGGTGGCTGCAGCTCCCTGACATCTGTCAGGTTGTCTGCTGGGCAGAAGAGCCGACTCCTACAAACTGAGCTAATCCCTGCATTTCTCCAACACTTCTCTCATTGCTGTCTTGTCACCCTAATTCCTCGCCAGTGTCAGAATTTATGATTCGATGAATTAGCAGTGAAGCTGTTTCGCATGACATGGTCCTCTTGGAAAGCAAAAGGTACATTTTCCATTTGTGGAGTATTACTAATTCTAGGAGTAGCTAAGGATAACTTCGAAACTTTACATTCTTAATGGGTTGCAGACGAGCTAGGAAACACAGGATGAAGGATTGGATAAAGACTGAGCAGAAGAGGGGGTCATTTCCCCATGCTCTCTGCCAGTCATCCATATCTTAATTTGAAAGGCCAATGTTATCGTTTGTGTCTTTTCTTTTTGTGGCTAATATAAATGATGTTATCCACTCGTGCTCCATGTGTTGTGAGCTGGAAGGCTGACAGCTCCCTTTAGAGCTAAGCCAAGATCAGCAAGTATATTTGGTTTTTCTTACAAATTTCACATAGAACAGCCAATGATAAAAGCTTAGCGCTCCAGCAAATGGTAAGCATCATTTCAGAGCAGATAAATAAATATGCCAATTTAATATATTTTGTTCTCCAAATTTAAACACTG